AAGGCAACTTCAAGGCCTGAGGGTTGCAGGCCAGCATGCAAACACCCAGCTGGGTTCTAGCGGATTTTGCAGGATGTAACATTGCCCACGTTACCTTCCAGTAACTCTAATTGCAAGACAAGGCCCGCTAACAGCATCAAGTGTCTGTGGCCACTACAAGATTTCACATTGGTGCTGAAGTTTCATAGTTAGGCCTTCTTGTAACAAAGCTGTCTTTTAATTGTGTGAATAAGCACAGACAATGAACGTGACAAGCCTGCTTCCCTGGCAGAAACAGCTTGTGTGTTAATGTGCAATTCGTGCAGTTGTTGCCTCAGAAAATGTCTTTCAAGTCTACTGCTTTATTCTGTGTTGCTCAACCAAAGTTGGATCTGCCACCCTCTAGACTGCTGAAGCAGATTAACATCAAGGCCTGAAGCCAGTAACAAGGTTTATGCAAGCATACTACGTTGTTAGAGGACTGGGTCTCTGCTGTAAGTGGTCTCCAACATCTTATCTTCTCTGGGAGGGGCAGTGCTCCACAGAAAGGTAAGTCACAGATCATGGGCACATGTCAAAATGCGTTCCAAGAAAAGACAAGGTTTGCAAAGAAATACCAATAGGAAATTCACTGTAACTGTGTTTTCACAGGCCACAGGCATCAAGTATTTTCTCCAAAAAAAAAGTTCTTAGTATTAGAAGAGTTGGTAGGGAAAAAAAAAATGCACTGAATTCAATCTGGAACCATCCTACGCAGTATCTAATTAGCACGGTCACAAAAAGGTAAGTGGATGAACAGTTAAAAGCATAAAATACTCAACACAATAAATACAGGATGGGAAAAAGATATTAAGTGAGGTTTTCTATGAGACTGTCATGCATTTTTCCTACTTAATTTAAGTAAGGTTAACTGCAAAGCTATCAATACTGCAACAGGAGAAAAAAAAAAAGACAGACTTAGTACAGAAGAGGGCAGACTGGGCAAACAGTACATTCGAAATGACACGGGGAAAAGGGTTCATAAAAAGAAAGAATAGATTTACTGACCTCAGACTGAAGGATAGTATGACTAGCATAAATAATAGACATGACAAAATACAACTGGTGGGCAGTGGGGTGCAGCAATACTTCTCCAGCCCAGAAGAGCTCGCAAGGCAAATACAGCCGGGCAATGCTCTACAGTCACCTGCTAACGAAACCCCTCTCCTCTCCTGTCACATTGACCTGACCATAGCTGGAAGTGCAGCCATGAGCAAAGGCAATGAAATGAATGAGTACAGAGATGGGCAGCACTTGCTGAGTGACAAATTAAGTAACACACACAGACAACAGCAACAAAACCAGGAAATCAAACAAACAGCAGCATCCAGGAATACAAGGGACAAATGGGAAGAGAGAACGATGCCTATTTGAAAAGAAAAAGCTGAGAGGAGCATGTGGGAAGAAAGGGAAATCCTCCTGTGGGTCGAGGATGCCAGACAGCTGCTCTGGGAGTTTCCCATTCCCTTTACTCTCACCCCAAATTAACTGCAATTCCTCCCTCACAAAGGAATGACCACCATGATAAAAAAAGCTCACGCAGCTAAAGCACCAAAGGCAGCACAAGGAGAGTACCAATGTTACTCGGAAAGCTAGCCCTACACATCAGAAATGCCCTCCTATGTGGAGAATTTCCCTGAAAAAGCAATTCTCAAATCCCACATGCATGCACACCAATGATGACCCACAGAAATCAAAACTGACCCAGCCAGACAGCTAATAGTTTCCACACTTTAAACTCTCACTGTTCTAGATTAATTCTCAGGTATGGATAAACTCCAGTTAACGCAACATCTGCCATGCCCGATGCAAGCAGTCCAGGTGGAGTCTGTACTGTTGGCAGAGGATTTCTCTGTATGTATGCAAAAAGTGCTTGTTCTTCATTTGTGAAATGTGCCTTTTGATCTCCTATTCCTGAAGACAACGAAGGCTGAAATTGTTATCATTACATGGTTACTGTGCAGAGATAAAGAAAAAAACGAGGAGGGGATGGAGCTACCTTGTGTAACATATGTAACATATGCTACTTTTCCATCATCACTCTAATGGGAGAGTTCCTGAGAAATATATATGCCACATGTTAAAAAGGAAATAAACCAGGTGACGCAGCCCAAGACCATTTACACAGGGCTTTTCACAACAATATATAGAAATCCACCCAGGCTGGGACAGAGTGCAGAGCCTGCTCAAGGCTGTCTGGCTTCAAACCTGCAAGAAAATACAGTATTTTGACATTCCAGCTTGTTCTTTGACTCTGTGTTGACAGGACATTTGGGAACAAAGAGAGGCTTGTTCTAGCATCTCTCTGCTGAAGTGCCAGAAAAAGAGCACAACTGGAGTATGAGGGTCTCTGGACGTTCACTTACTCCTCCTCACCATGAGGAATCAGTATTTGGGCATAAGAGAAGAAAATCTAGGTCTTCTACAATACTGCTAAAACATCTACTTTGCAAAGCAGTGGCCTGTGCCACCGTGGAAGCCCTGCTGGGGAGCAAAGCTAGAGGCTGACACGCACCTTTCTGGTACAGGTGAGATGAATGAATACAGAGCAGACTGTGGCTTGAGGTCAGGGTGGCCTCTTTGTCCTAAACTAGGTCCTAAACCACCTGACACCTCTGCCTGTACAGGCAAAGAAACCACATTAGCACTTAAGTTTCAGTCGCTTCCAAAAGTTCTTCCAAACAGAGGGCAAAAGTATCTCTCAACGTAAAGCACCTCCTCCGATTCAATTCTTCCCTCTGAGGAACCCCTCAGCTTTCTTGGATGGTACATGACACTCCTTAGAAACCTCCCAGAAAGGAAAGATGGGGCTACAGTTCAGAGAAAGACAGAGACACCAACTCAGTCTGAGAAAGCCCATTAGCACTAATGACAGCATTAGCTAGTTGGATTTGTAATGCTGACAGACTGTGCTGCTCATCTGCAAAGACAGAGAAACAAAACTACCACCAGCCTGGGGGTCATCACGGGACAGCTGAGTAGACAAGTGGAAGGAGGAGAAAAGCCTGGTTTTCCTATTGTGCCTGCCTATGGATGTAGAAATCCAGGGCTCAGGATCAAAACTGGCGAGCCTGAAATGTGCAAGTTTTACTCCTCTGTCTGTCATGCACTCATCCCTGTGCTGAGCTTGCAGAAGCCTGAGCAAATTGCTTGCCCCTCTTCTCCTGGTTAAGGAATTACAGTTTTCCAGAATTCCTTCAATGGGAATACCATAAATGCACTAAATCTTATTTTACAGAGCAGTGTTGTCTTTTTCAACTGCCACATACTGGCAGGTAAGACCAGCTCTGATCTGCTCTGCTGCTGAAAGTTCAGGCACACCATTGCATTTGGGATTACATGGGATCAACGCAGCGGGATGCCTAAGACGATGACCCCAGCATCCCTGCTGGCACAACTGCCCTGTAGATGGCAATTATACTCTTCCCAACTTAATGCTGACTAACAGAGAGGTAACTATTGCTGCTGGCTGATCCAGGAAGAAAAAGAGGTAGTCACACAAGCAGACAGGCGTTCAGCCTGGGCTGCACGCTCCCCTCTCAGATGCTGTGACTGCACAGCTATGAAATCCTCTTCCTCCAGCTAGATCAAGTCAGCATCCATATGAATAAAGCTGCACTGGCATTTTTAATCAATGGCCAGTATAATTCACAGAAAGCTAGCACATCATTTCAAGCAGGGGCCAATAACCCCCATCTTCCTTTTCCTCCACTTTGCTTTAGACATGTCACTAATGTCACAGAGAATTTCTCATAAATGTTTAGGTGAATTTATTAACACTGCTTCAGAAAGGCTTCATACTCCTACTGCAAAGCCAGTACACTGAATCCAGCTTTACTCCTCAAGACAAGAGGAAGTTTAAAACATACTTTTTTTAACAGTCAAAAATTACCTACAATAATTGCCCTGCATTTAAGATCACGATCCCAGGATTACTGTTGCATTGGGCTGTTGAAATCATCACTGTGAATCTATCAGTTAACAAAAATAACTTGTTTTAAAAATTACTCCTTTTGAATAACTTTTAAAAATGCAAATGTGTGTCATATTGGTTAGCACAAGGGCTAGTATTGCTGGCTTGATGAAACCTGCACTGTTAATGTGGTACGCTGAAAAGCCAATCTTTCCATCTCTTAACACTATACCACTCCTAAGTCTCCTGGCAAACACTACTTTGCTAGAGTTCAGACAAAAAGATCTCATTTTTCCAGTTATTCTCTAACTATGACCCTGCCTGGGCACATGACAAAAAGCAGTGCTCTACACCTTATCAAAAAGCTGAGATTCTGACAGAGCTGCATACCAACGTGAGTAACTGTGTGCAAGCAGGTAATGACAACCCACCTGGATTATCTACAGTGATGAACTAGTACACTGCATTTTAATGTATGTGCACATATGCCTCAAGCTCACGGAGTAGGCAACTACATTGGACGTTAACAGCACACAGTTTAACCTCAATATCAGTTCTGCTTGCTAGAGTCAGACACAAGTTACACGCTAACAATGTGAATTACAGTTACGCATAACTTCACCCTTTGAATTGGCTTGAGCGCTACATTTTGTTCATTATCACCACTCAAAAAAGTAATTTCCTGAACTTGAAATAAGTTCAAAAAAGAAGTTTTTTTGAACTATGAACTACGAAGAAGAGGTCCTATCCCAACTCAATGCACTGTTTGCAAACAGAAGGTTTAAAAATATTGACATCAACAAGGCAGGGTTGGTTTTTTTGTATACTTCACATTCAGGACACATTTAGGACTCAGCCTAATGCATTTTCCCCCCACATGAACTCTTGGAAAATGCTGGGTGAAAACCCCCGTAATTCCTCAAGACTTGCATCTTGGCAAAGAGAATTCCTTAAAAGACATGAAAGGGCCATTAAACATTATTTCTCAGAAGGGCTTAAAATAATTTTCCGTGTTTGTATTTTGTAGTTTTTCAATCACTTTTCCTACTTTATCTGGAGTTTTTTTCTCACTTGTTGTTGAGCAACAGATGCACATAAAAGGAAAACAGAGAACATGACTATTTGCAAAACACTGCCAAGTGTATGAAACAAACATACTAAATTTGAAAACAGTAACTTTACTTTCTCCTAAATTCCGAGCACATAAATTATACAGGCTCTTTTATCTACTGCTACTATGTTTTCAGAGAGAAGCCTCATCTTTCAAACCTGAGTGCATCTGTCCGTCCTGGAGTATGAAAATGCTTTCTATACAGCACTGGCTGGGCCAAGCACATCAGATATCAGGTAACTGTCCAACATATCAACCTGCAAATGCTTTCCTATATGTTTCAAGAATACCTTTTTAATTAGGGCTTCTCCTTATCAGCTATCTTAAACTGAGTAAGTGTCCTGCACCTCAAAAGGCGGTCACAGCCCTTGTCAAATGGGACTGACGTGGATGCAGGATATGTATGGAAGCACACCCACTTTGTAGCCTGCCTTTGGTTGCCCAAGCCCTGAGACAGCCGGCTGGTGTGCTGACTCAGGGCTGACTCAGAGGAAGATGCCATGTACTGAATCACCTCTGCCACATCCTGCAGCACCTGGGGTTTTCTTTAGGAGTCTCCCAACTGATATTACAGACTTTTAAGCTTTCACTGGAAACATAATACAATATGGAGTGGCTACAGGCCAACAGTGAGCTTTTAAAAGGTTTCTGACAGAAACTTGAGAGAATGCAAGAGAGGCAAAACAGAAATTCACTCAGTGTTGGCCAAAATCCAAAAGCATCTGCCTCGTGCCCGAAGACAACACAAGCAAAACCGGTAAGAAGCAACTGCAACTACTTAGATGAGGCAGTGAGCACGCTGACTGAACTCCCTAACTAAAGTGCTAATGCCTTTGGGGAAAAAATCCCCTCCATCTACACTCCAGAGAGGCCACATGTACTGAGCTAGCTGTCTCTTCTCTTCCTAGGCACCACAAACTCATGCTCCAAGTCAGTATAAATTTCAGACTGTCTGAGAGTTCAGAAATTAGGTGCAAACCAATCCACAAGGAGTGCTAAAAACAGGTGATAGTGATTTTTTTTTTTTTTTTTTAATAGTAGAAGTCTGAGTGAGAAGGATCAACAAACTAAATAGTTGAACTTAGAGTTTTAAGTGCCCTGGGTTAGCATTTGTGCTGGCGACCACAGCTAGCACATCCAAATGACCACCTACCAAGACCAAGTTTCAGGTGATGCTGGAATGAGCCCTTCCTCCCCACTGTGAGGGCTGAGGCAGCTTACAGGCCTCAGCAGAGGAAAGATGCCTGAGCAGGGGGAGAGAGGGTGGGGAGGGAGGCAGGCAGTTGCGTGTTCTCACCTGAGGCCGCTGTAGCATTTGTAGGGGTTGAAGCAGCTGCTTGGTTCCGGGCATGAGCAGGGATGAGGATCGAAGCCAGAGATGGGTTACTTGACAGTTCTGGAGGCAAGGTGGAAGAAACCATTAGTTCATTGTCAATGAAGAGTCCCGCATGCAGGTTCAGCTCCTTGCATTTCCCCCCCGTAACAGCAACCTTGGGTGGAATGCATGCCCTTACGGCCAAAGGTCGCGTTACGTTTTCTTCTTTGCCAACCAGCGAGAGGAAACCACAGCGATACTCGGCAAGGCAGTCTCCAGAGCAAGACTGTCAAAACTACAAGTAGTAGCGCAAGGGAATTATTTCCTAGAGACAGACAGTGGCTTGGGAGCTAGCAAAGAACCAGCCAAGCCTGTTCCTTATCAACAGCCTGATAACACTGTTTCCTCCTGAGCACTGGAAGGATTCCCTTCACAAACCTGCTTGCAATCAGTCCCAAAGAGAAGGCTGATAGCAGTGCTGCTGCTTTGGGCTCTGGTTCAGCAAGCAAGCAGCTGCAACAGTTGCTCCAAGAGCTTCAGGGATTCAGTTCTTTAGCCCACTCAAGCATCACTTTCGCAAGGACCCAAGAACCCAAGGCCAATCTCTCACAGCAGTCTCCTTGAGCGAGGCCAGGAAGAGGTGACATCTCCTTTAAAAGCACAGGGAAAGGGAATCGGTCTGCTGGGCAATTTAAATGGACAACAAAATGATGCAACCATTCTTTCTGAAGATATTAACCAAGGAAAAAATAGTCATGTCTTTTAGGCTCCAAATCTAATATAGCTTCAATATGTATCAGAATGAGAAACAGGCATCTTACATCCACAACCGTGGGAGGATTAAGGGCAACACATTGCCAACAAATGACAACCTTCTGGCACCCTTTCAAGGGAATCTAGTGCCTCACAGAAGGTGGGACTAAGCCGAGACAAGACAGGTCCTGTTTGTTTCAGAAACAGGAGTGACTGGCTGTCTCTTGAGAAAGCAACATCCAGTGAAAAGGATGTGAACAGTCACCTCACAGAAGGAGACTGATGACTTTTGGAGCTCCAGGAGGTCATCTGAAGGAGAAATGAGAATAGACAGCTTTTTATATAAGACCTCCAGATAGCAAGGGCTGCACAGAAACCCATCCAAATCACACCATGGGTTCAGTAAGAGGGTTTTTGTACAGAGTCTTAAAATTATTTGGGCTCATTTTTAAGAGCGTATTGCTTTTCTTTAACGCAAGCTTTAAACTTAGGGCCTAAAGGGATCAGAAATCTACTTGGTGATTTTTTTTTCCCTCCATTAAGTTACGTTAAGTTTCTTTACTGCTGGGAGGGCAAGATGTAGAAGACTCTCAGCTGCTTACAAGCGTCTTACTACTAAACATTTTGAGACTGCGTTTCAGCACTTAGGAACACAAGCTCCAGTCTAGAACCAAACAGAAGTTGTTAAATTACCTGCAACCCATCCAGTCTATCCTGTAATACTCCATGGAGGTCTAAGCAGACCTAGCTAGTCCTTCTAGAGAGCCTCAATATTCAGAGCATTTGTAGAAATACTAATCCTCAAATTCATGTGGGAATAATTCAGATTTAATATATTCATAATATTATTCAGAGTTCATAACTCTCCATTTTAAAATGGAAAACTGAAGAAACATGAATCCTCAACGTGTCAAAGCTGAATACCAGTGACAAATCTATACTTTAATACTATCTTGGGTATTAGCTGCTCCGTGCTAGAAAATGTTGCTCCTTTAGTATTTTTTCCAAATCTATTTCTCAAATCTGTTATTACTGGGAATCTGCTGTTCACCTCGCTCTTTTGAAAGTTTCCATCACCCCCACGTTATTTTCTGTTCATCACTGGCAGCAATATGGGGCTGTGATCCAACCGAAAGCAGAGCTAAACCATCAAGGAAACCAAATGACATTTGCTACCTTCTGGTGCTAAGCAGTGCCTCGAGGATGCAGCTATAGACTGCCTGCATCGCTGTAGCCAAAGAACCAGCTGATCTCACAGAACAACACCCTTGCAAAGGCACTTTGACCCCATTCTCATTCCTCCCATATGTTCCTCTAATGCTGTCAGAACCCCTCCTTTCACAGCACCAATTACGGCAGGTATACTGTTTTTTGTCGTTTTTAAGGCAAGTGCAACCATTTCTCTGAAGCTACCTTAAAGAACTTGCACAGAAACTAGAAGACTGATCTTGTTCCCTTCTTCTCAAACCCCATATTTCCTTTCTTGGTATGAAGTTTCTTAAATTCAGCATGCTCTGAATGTCCTGATGCTTCACTTAGAGGTGCAGGTCAATTCAGACAAGAAATAACCCAAGTAAATTGAAATATCTTGGCTGAAGTTTAATAGCAGTTTTGCTTGAGGACTTGTTTGAATTTTTGTTCTACTCTATTTTTGTAGCTATCCCATCTGTAAGGATGAAACATGTCAATACTGAGGAAAAAGCTTGGCCTGTGGTATCTGCAGTCTACGAAGTATTGAGAACCTCTGTTCTCAGTGATTTCCAACACAGTTATTTGGACAAACTGTTGAACTGTAGTCTATCTAAATCAAACTTGCAATACAAGGTTGGGTTAATTACAACCAATACTGCTGCATGAAGGTATTGTGATCAAGGCAATCCAGACAAAGTTTTCAATACCGTGATGTGAACAGAAGAGCTATCCCAATTCATTTATGAGACCCAATTCCCATTCACATCAGCTGGGAGAACACCTTTGGCTTTCTCATCAAGTCATGCCACTTGCAGCCAGTTTACATCTCCAATAGGAAGCAAAAAAAAAAGGAATGAAAATGTCCAGTTTTACTAGAATATCAGATCATCTTCATTCCCCAAACACAAGAAAAATGCTTGGCTTTGGGAAACAGTGCAGTGCTTTTTTTCAGTATCATTAGATTTGCTATTTCAACACCCCCAGAATCCTCTGGAAAAATTAGTCTTGTATCATGTTTGCTTTGTCACAGTAACAAACTTTCCATGTAACTGAAGTTATTCCACCAGTTTCTCCTCAACCTAGAAGAGTTCTGGAAGCAGCACAAGTTTCATCATTTTCCTTTCTTCCCCCCTCCACATGCCCTGAGCAGAAATAATCTGGCTAAAAAAAAAACCCTAGATGGCACTCTGTCATGGTTTAACTAATGGTCAGACTACAGATTTCCGGTCACACTGAAACAGTTTGGTTAGAAATGAAGAGGGTTTTACATATATCTATATCTAGAGATATATTTAAAAAAAAATAAAATTTTTTTAAAGGTCACAAGCCAGGCTCATTTTAAAAACAAACAAACAGCAAAACACAGAAGCCCCACACCAGCAAAAAAAGTAATTTGTCATCGAGAAGCGTGATAACCATTCCTACGTGCTGAATCACAGAAGAATTTTACAGTCTTTAATGGCCAACATGGAGCAACAGTAACATTTGTGACCCAGCACAATCACTGACACATTACAAGAAGTTTAGGAAATGGTAGTCATTTCACAGATCGTTTGAAAATTCAGCTTCTAAGAGAAAAAATGCTCTCTGTGCTTTCTGTCTTGCAGGTCTAACAGCCACTGAATTGCAGCTCCGTAGCTAGTGGACATACCTCCTTGGCCAAAATAATTTTTTCAAACCCCAACTACAGTATAACATTTATTTAAATATTAAGAGAAACTTACAGGCAAGATATTAAGAATGACCAAAGCTCTCTCCAGCAGATCTCATCTCTACAATAAGGTAAGCACCTACATGCTGCATAACTACTGCTGGCAGCCAAAGACCATGATCTTGATCTCCCATATACTCTCACTGCTTTTTTTCTAGACTATCTGAGCAGCATCAGTGCCCAGATCAGATGTGGTATAACACTTAGGTTCCTTCTGAAAAACAATCCAATGCATTAATGGTCAGATTGATGTTATTTCTAACAGTTTTGCCTTCAAGCCTCCTGCAGCTACCTCCTACTCCACGGGTTTCAGGCAACTGGATATAGCCAAATAAAACACTTCGAAAACTTAATATCGTCTGTTGAAAATGAATGCCATTCAAAACAAAAGGATGTCTTTCATTACTTTTTAAATTACTGCAGGTGACTCAACATGAGTCGTCATCTGATTTCCAACAACCTGATCTATTCCCCAGTTGGGATTTCTGCTCTGGACTAGCCAATTTGACAGGACTTTGCACAGTCTGGCTAAAGAGTGAGGACTGCACAGTGGTCACAGGAGGGGCAAAAGCTTCTTGTGTATCTTGAGGTCATCAGGATGGCTGCTACACAAGACTCGCTGCTGCACAGTTATTAGTTACAAAGGTCTTAAAATTCACTGTGCTAAGCAATGTATTTATTTATTTTAAAATACTCTGGTTGTTTTACTGAGTTTGGCTGGTCACCTGCAACAGAGCTTATCTGGAAATGCATTAATGACCAGCCTCTGTCCTGCCTTCCCTTTTTAGATGGTAAAACTGGCACCTGCTGATGACAGAAACCTGCTTTTTTGAATCTTAAGGAAATTGCTCCACTGGAACTGATTTCTCTTGCCATTCCCATGAGTCACTGTGCAAGGGGAGAGCACATCAGCTCGTTAGGATGGCAAAAGAGGAACTTTAAATTTGCTTGACCATTAGGGTAGCTTACCCAGCTGTTTCCACACTGGCTGAGGGGAAACCAGGGACACATTCCCAACAGAAACTTTTTTTTTCCCCTAAGCATTTTTAAAAAGACTGACTACAGAGCTTTCCAACCCTTTTTAAAATCCTTGTTTTCATGTAGTAGATAGGCCCAATCTTAACATCATTAAGAAACAATTAATAAGAAATACTTTCAAAAAGAACAGGGGTGAAGCTGTACTAAGATACTGGGGGTCAAAATTCTCTTAGCTACTGAAGATGGCCTCGAGTGGGAAGAAAAGGCAATTCGTGAGTACTGTAACAAGGACCGACCTGTAACATAACTACTAAATTCATAACAACAGATGCAGAAATTAGCACACAGAACAGTGACCTGGAAGCACAAGATATTTTCTTGAACATTTTAAGGTGTTCATGCTTCAGAAATGTTTTAGTATATTTGATACATTTACCTTCTGCAAGGCAGCCACTCAAAGCAAGTTAAATGTTTACTTCCAGGCAGCTTAAATACTACTTTGTACAGACACAAAGCTTTTTGGCTCTCTCATTTTTTTATTTTTTCTTTTTGTAAAATAAAAGGCCTCCACATGTTGAAGAAGAGGGCTCTGTTTCACATTTTGGCAGATGGGCACTACAAGCACTAAAGAGTTTGAAAAATTGCATTGATCCTAACTGAAGCAAAAGATGTTTTAGACTTTCAACAGAAAATGCACACAGATCTATTCTTGCTCAAAGGATGAGAATTGGCAGCTAATAACTTAAAAAATAAGTGCTCCAAAATTAATTACTACCATGTTTGTACGCCACACTTCTCAAATTCTCTGTCTTGGCAGGCAAAACTGTTCGGGGGGGGTATCAGTTTTACATTTCTGACTTCTATGAAAAAAAAAATGAATAGTTTTAAAATTTGATACCAGTCTTGCTTCAAATAAAGTTAGTTGTCTGTCATTTTTACAGTTTCTAAATGACTGAGTCAATGTAATGCTAGATGAACTGTACAGGGCACAAAATCTGGACACTAGAGCCTCTGTATTTATCTCTCACCCAGAACCAAAAAGGGCAGCAACACTACAAACCTTCCTGCCAAACCTAATATGCATTACTCCTTGCTATGGCGTTTCAGGTATGAAGGACCAGGATCATCTCCAAACAATAATCTAATCTGCACGGTCCACTGACTGTGATATTTCACATAAAACCATCAGCTAGGTTGTAGACACTGAACTGCAAACGTAAGCCTTCTTGATGCAATCCAATGCTAACAACCCTCAGTACCCTGCATGAAATTTGAATCTAAATCACCAGGCAACTGAAAATCCCGTAATCCACTTCAAGTCCTTTTCCTCTCTTTTGGAAATGGACAGCTGGTTACACAACCGCTTAATAACCTTATCCTGCTCGGAGATTTTTACTGTTGAGGAAGTGACATCTGCATTACAACGAACATTCATCCCAGTGCTTCTTCCTAAAGAAGAGATCCTTCAACGCTCACTGGCTACCTTGAGTGGTGAAATTGAAGAGTGCAGGTTTCTCTCGCCCATTTGGTAACTTGACATTTGGGTCCCGTAGTTCGTCGAAGAAAGAATGCGCACAGGCCTCCAGGGGAGTCAGGCGGGCAGTGGGGGTGTACTCCAACAGACGGCTACATAGCGCAATTGCTTCTGGGGGAGTGCGGGGCCGGAAGACCTAAAAAAAAAAAACAAAACCAAGCAAGGAGAAACAGGTTGTCTGGGTATGTTTCATTTCTTTGCTGACCAGAAGCAAGTCAGAGCAATTAAACCTCTCATTGCCCAACAAGCTGGAACAAGCTTGCGGTTTGTGCTAATCAAAGTCCTCCAGTAAGTATGGGAAAATCCAGTTCCTGGGTTGAGAAAGGGTTAATTGCAACATCTTGCTCTAGAGTGAAGGTGCAATGCCAGCAAGAGACTTCATGAGAGCGCACTCAGAAAAACAACTTTAAGAATGAAGGGGTAACTCATTCAAAAATCATGATAAACACACACAGGTGCTACCAGCCATGCATATGGAGTGGAGTGAAGGTGGGGAGGAGTGTTCAAATGAGCAGGATTCACTGAATGTAAAAATTGAATAAGGCCTTGCTAAGGTTTTGGGGTTGTTGTTTTTTTTTTTGGCTAGTGAATGAAGTCTTGCTAACATGGACTTCTGCAGGTAGGCAGGTCAGATTGTTGCTATGGAGGCTGCTGTTCAACTTTGGAGAACAACACTGAAAGCACGTGTGGTGTGCAGGAAATATCTAGCTCTAATTTGCAAGTTACTCCTTTCATGACCTTATTCTGGTAGTCATTCTCACAAGTTTATTGGGATAATTCCTGCACATTTGGTATTTGTAAGGACAGCTGAAAATTGCGTCAAGAGAACCAACTACTTTAACAGATTTTTACCTTGAGTGACTACAAAAAGGACTTCTTCACTGCAGCTTTGTTTTAAACCTCTAAGAACGGTTCTACCCACCACTAATCACGCCCCCATCCTCTTTTCTCATTGTATCAAGAGCAAAATGTGAGTTAACTATGTAACGTGACCTGGACAGCCTCCTCAAGCACTTCTCTCTCACTATATTGCAGGTGATATGCAGGCTGGGCAAAAGGGAGTAGGGTGGGTGCAAGTGTTAAGTTTTGAAGCCAGCATTTCTGGTAGAAGTTGAGCTAATCCAAAATGCTTTTGCACCAGTGCAAGTGAACCCAAGCCACACAGCACCAAGGAGCAAAAAAATAAAAAAAAAAAATAAAAAAAAATCAAAAAATCAGTGCATGACATGCTAATTAATCACAGATGAGGAACTTGCACAGGCACTCCTTAAGTAGGTTTTAAACCAAAGGCATATATGCTCTCTTGAATGAGAGTCAAACACAAATGCTAAGTTCTCTGCAGACTGAAATTTTATCCCCTTGGTGCCCAGCTGGCTCAGGAGCACGCGGGTTTGTTGCAGTGCGTGCTGTACTAACTTACTTGTGTGGCAAGGAATCCTGACTCAGGGAGTCAAAGAGCCAGTTACCAAAAAAATGCAGAATTTATTTCTACTACCAGGTTGCTGCAAAACAAACCAAAAAAGTTTTTGCACGAGGCCTATAATGACAAAAAGAGAGGCTTTAGCTTAACACTGCTGGCAGAGAACTTCTGCTGACCACTGTGCCATGAATGTACGGTCGTGTGGAGGGCCAGCAGAAGCTGCTTTGCGCCCGCTGCCTGCAGAGCTCGGGTTGCTGTCCCCAGTGCACAGTGGATGCAAGTATCACTCCCTAGTCATGGCCTGACCAGAACAAAATGCAGGACTGTCTCCAATTAAAAAAAAAAAAAAGGTGCTTTTTTTTTGTTTAACCCTACAGTAAGTAACACAAATGAGCATGTCCGGAGGTAATCTACAGAAGTGAAGTCACTTGGTATTTAACATGAGGTAAAACTACTGAGGTCTCCTTCATGCACCTTCACACTGAGGTTTTAACAGACTTGATCTACCACAGATTGAAACTGAAGTACTTCACTCTTAGCTGTGTTCTTCCCTCAGGACAGCTCACATATCAGCTACTATACAGGTCTTAAAAAGAAAAAAAAAAATAATTTTTTTCCTTAAGGCAAAGATGACAAGCCCTTATCTTGAGCAAATTAGTAGGCAGTCAGTCATAAATCTGCCATCTGTAAAAGGAGTACTCGGTTGTCCACTCTTAAACTCCTCATTTTCAAGTCAGTGAAACCCTAACATCTGTTTCCTAAACCCTGTTGAGAACTGCTCAGCCTGCCTTTGGATCTGAAATTAGTCACTTGGGGTAGGCAGTTCCTGAAGTCTGCCCTAACTGCTTCAAATCAGGGATGGAAGGGGGAAAAAAAAATTAAAATATTTAGAAGGCCTCACATGGCTTCCCCCTGCAACAAGTGGTGACTAACACATGAAGTGAGTTACAGGTCTGTGCTCAACTCTTCTTTATCACCTTGTATTAGAACATTCGCCTGGCTGCTGCCTCAAGGATGCAGTTTTGAACTCAAAGATTCCACTTCTAGCATTTCTCTCCTTTTTTTCAAGGCTAGGCCTAATAATTTGAAAAAATGTTTAAGTACATACCCGTACTCCTGAGGTGAAATGTCCTGTTCCTGACGAGTCCTAAAGATGATAATGCAGTGAAATAATCCAAACAGGGGGAGTCAATCCAAAAGAGAATAGTCCAGCAAGGAAAAATATAGCCAATATTATAAGAAATCCATGGTGTGGGGGACATAGAAAATGTTTATACAATTAGAAACTTTAAACATCAGACTCCATAGCAGCAAGTCCAACTTCACCACAGTGTATGTCAAAAAAATCGATTGTGCAATGGTGAGGCATAGTACAGAAACATTTCTATTTTAAATTTATGTTCCAATGCCAGTGCATTTACTAAAAAAATAAAAAAAATTGAAATCAAAACTCTAACTTGAACTAAAAGGGTAATTGAAATTCCCATCATAAAGAATTTTCAGTCCTCGGTCCTGGATATAAACGTCCACAGACAATGGGGCCAGATTAGTTGGTCCCCAAAGGTGCATCCCACTTGTAAATCTGTCCCAGAGACACAATGTAAACTTTTGGGTGGTTTTGGTTTTTTCCAGAAAAACCAAACCCCTAGCAATTGATAATTTGTGCTGAAGAGAAAGTAAAAATCCGAGATCTGTACTTTGAATTTGGATGCTTTTAATTTGCGTGAGCTATGAGTGCTTCAGGCCGCCGCGGATTATTCTCCATTTTGGATTGACTTCCCCCGCCACTGGATTTTGTTTGCTGGCGTTATCTCTTTAGGATTCTTCAGGAACTGGACGTACCACCTCAGGAGTGCGGGTATGGACTGAATTTCTCTCTATTGCGGGTTTATTTCCCCTCATACCCATCGCACCTGTTACTTAAGAAATTTTTTTTCCCCTCAATTTGTTCCCTCCCGCCTCCCTTTTAAATAATGCCCTACAAAATAAAAGCAAAACCCTCTGCGGTCTTTTAGCTCTTCCCATTCAACACAGTTCCACCGGGAAAGCTGCCCAATTCGCCCACCGAGAACTACACAAGCAGCTGTCGCCCACAGCAATGGGTACGCCAGCGCTTCCATGCCACGGGGAGCCGATGCCAAGGCAATGCCAGGCTGGCGCTCTGTGGTGGGAAGGGATGGGAGGACGGACAGACAGTGGGACTTGTGAGCCGTGAAGCCCCTCACGCATATGGCTCAGCAGGAGTTTAAGGTCTCTGTAGTTCTCAGTGAGGGAATTGATTTAGTAAATAATCCGCGGATTATTTTTAGTCTGCGGACTAAAATTTAGTGCACGGACTAAAATCCGGCCCATCGGAGCAAAGTCTGTCTCAATCTAAAATACATTTGGGTGAAAGCAAAAGAAAAAAAATAAAAAAGAAAGAAAAAAGGAGAAAGGAAAGAAAAAAAAGGAAAAAAGCTAAGTGCACAAAGGAAAGTGTTTGGGCAGACTAACATTTAGTATGCAGACTAATTATGGCCGGGCAAAAGGCACAGCAAGTCCACAAACAAAAAACAAAAATAAAACACTGACAGGAACTTTTAAAGCAATCAAATACTACCCCACCGGCGCAGCAATTCATTTTTCTAAAATGAAACAAGACCTTGCGTAAGGCAATTTGTCCACAGGAGGGACCGAAGGCCCAAGATTTCATTTTAAAAAATGAACCTGTTTTGGAGATAAACAAATGCAAAAAAAAGGCTTTACATACAATATTCTTCAAGTAAAATTTGCACTTGCATAACTCAAAACCTCTTGTTTCTGCAAAGCAAATGAATTCCAGGCTGAGACCCAGGTCATTGTGGTTTTTTGGTTTTGCTTTTTTTTTTTTTTTTTTTGGATGAGTTACAAAAATCTCTGAATGATCATGTCAAATGGAAATGCCGACTCATCCAAAGCCACAGTTTTTGGTGCTCTTGTGTTTGTCCTCCCCAATTCAGATCCCAATAAATCTATACCTGCACCAAAAAGCTGAGGGACCAGTACAAGTTCTTTGTTCAGGCATGCTGGTGATGCTCAAATACCGACAGACCGTAACACCTAGACAACAAGGCCAGATACACTCCTCTCTTTTTAAGTTACATTGCTATCAATGCAATTATTTTTTTTTTTCCACTCCCCCTTCATTTTTCTGGAGCTACCACCTTCTTTAACATTTCAAAATCGGTTGCCAGGCTTAAATGCTCCTGATGCACTACGCAGCTTTCATCCCCAAGCGACTTCAATTTAGACAAAGCCTTTGTGCACTAGCAGAGCAGTCACATTTTATCTTACTAATTTGAAATAGTTCCTACCAGCGTAACAGAGCTCACGCCCCTTCTGATTTTTTTTTTTTTTTAATGCATGGAGAGACAAAAGAAAAAGGATGGAAGCACAGGGTTTCCCTATTTCACTTCACTCGCATCAGCATTCAGCTCTCAAATAAAACCACATGGGGCAAGAGCTAAGTATTGTTTTAACAGAATGGTTGCTCTGACTTTCAGTTCATTGACATTCTTCAAACAGACTTTCCATGCACAACACGGAGCTCTGTCGTCTTGGTCTAATTAAGCCCCAAAGCCAAAGCTTCACAATGTTACACCAAGGTGCTCTTCTAGCCAGTATGTATTAAAAGACATGATTTCATGCCATCAACCCCTATGCGTTCTGCATGCAGATTGTGAATACTGCTCACATGC